CAGTAGATCACTTGCAAGACTGAGAACAAAACGGGAAGAGGGGGGAATTATTTTCCTTGCGCTCAGACTAACACTGACTAGCGTCAACTGGCCGCAGCTCATCTGTACCCTGGGTGGTGGATGTGCACATTTCTACTATCACCTGAATCTGTGGCCCTGCTGACTGAGGCTCTATGCATCTTTGCCATTGTGCCCGGATTCTGTGCTCGGAAGCAGGGCGCCTGGAAGTCGCCACCCATATACTCCATGGTCTGCATCAGGTTTGTCTGGCTGGAAATGGCTGCCCCGGTCCTATACTGTGCTCCGGGGGTACAGTCTATGGAGGCCCCTGAGAGGCCCCCGTGGAACGGGCCCACCAGGTCCTGAGACCCTGAGCTGTCACTGTTTGGCGTGGGCAGGATGTTGTTCCAGGGTGGCTGCATGTAGTGGCTGTTACTGTAACTCATGGGCATCCCCTTGACCGGAGGAGATGGAGTTGGTTTATCAGTAGAGGACTTCAAGTTGAAGGGCTGCGCCATGCACATCTCCTGCGGGTAGCCCATATTCTTAGGGAGGAACCCTGGTCCAACTAGACCATCTCTGGGGAGATTCTTGCCCTGGTGAGCCGCTCCCTCAGGAAGGTGCTGAAGGTGTGCAAACTGGTGTTGCCCCCAAGGGCCCTGCTGTCGTTGTTGCTGGGGTAACTGTGGCTGGGATTGCTGCTGCTTCATCTCACTGTGGTAAAGAGGCATCCTGTTCATGGCAGCGATGTCAGGCAGTGGCAGAGTGGGAGCAGGACCACCTTTGTCAGAGTTACCAAGGACGCAAGAAGGCGGAGGACCCACACTGGGATGGGTGCACACCCGAGAGCTCGCATTGATGAGTTGGTTGCGGCTGATGGGACTGGGGTTGGCAATCTGTCCTTCGCACATGGAGGTAGAGCCCATACCAGCCCGAGCCTGGCAGAACTGGTTGATCTGATTGACGATGCTGCTCAGGTCACTGGGCCGGTTCTGGTGTAAGCTGGCAGCCATGGACAGCGGGATGGTTGAGGTAGACACAGTCACATTGGGAGGGGCGTCGGCATCGGGCAGCTTGCGTGGCATCTGTAAGCCTACCAGGGGGGGCTGTAAGACTCCGGGGGCCGGAGGGCCGGCGCAAGAAGCCTGTGGCATGGGCTGGGATTGAGAGAAGCCCTGGGAGTGCTGCAGGTTCACAGACTGCCCCATTTCGGGCAGATGCCGGAGTCCTTGCGGACCAGGCAATTGTGGCTGCTGCTGCATGAGAGTCTGTTGGTGGTTTAGGGCATGGTGTGGTACTGGCGGTTGGTGAGCCTGGCTCTGATGCAAAGCCTCCTGGTGGGCCAGGCTCTGCTGTGGTTGTAAACTGCTTTTCTGCTGCAGGGACTGCGGATGGGCCTGCAAGGCCTGAGAATGAGCGAGATTCTTCTGGCCTAAAGGAGTCTGAAGGTGTGGAACAGTGCGAGGAACATTTAAAGTGCTGGGATTGGCGTAAAGCCCACTGTGCGGGTTCATGATGAGCTTAGGGAGAAAACGGGCTCGGCCGCCTTCGATGTCCTTGAGGATCCCTTTGACAGGGACTTTGACGATGGCCAAGAGGCCTGTCCGGGTGTTGACCTGAGGTGGGTAGGGGCTGTAGCGTTGGCTGGAGGTGTCGAGACCGTTGATGGTGCGGCGAATATGCTTCCTCTGAGGTACTTTCACGCTATTGGGGAAGATTTTTATAGTCAGTGGGCTATTAGCAACTTTCTTAGCATAGGCATCCAATTCTGCTGGGGTAGGATAGTGTGCTGATCTCATCCTCTGTGTAGTGTCCCCTGTGAGCAAAAGAAGGCCAAACGTGAAGGGTAATGCAAGAAATGTGGCGCTCATATGATAGCAACTGCTTATCAGGGCTCTGACAGAGCAGGGTCAAGAGGCAGAGCATCAGTTTCACTAACAAAGGGATCAACTAGGTCAAATGTACATGCAGACTAATCAGAACAAAGCTCATTTTGGTTAACGGCTGCTTACATTTCTGGAGTCCAGTGTTCATCTGCGTGTGCGAGAGAAGCTGGAGAGAGGGGTTTGATACCGGCAAACAGGCCAGCATGTCACAATGAGACTAATGCAACATTGGACTCTCACTCCTCATCACACTGCAAAGGAAACAGTCACGTCAGGAACAAAAACGGATTCACATCATTCGTCTCTTAAAATACATGGTGTAAAAAAAGATACGTTGGCTATTTTCTCCTCCGAGGGCGTCATTAAAGAGATCCAATTTTATGTGTAGATGTAGGTTTAATGGAACACACTGTGCAATGGGACTTAATGAGAGTAATAAATTATTACGAGGAAATGTCTAGTTGAATTAGTGGCGGTTTGCTGCAACAAAGCAGCAGAAGCGATAATCAAAACGTCTTAGATTAAAAGACCTGCAGACTGAAAATCAGCACACAGTGAATATCCCAACAAGCTAAGTAAGTAATATTGAGTAGAGCATGCTAGTCAACAAATGACATGATTTACAGCTGGCCGCAAGAAAACGGCAAGCACAGAAGTGTACAAAGGCCCTACCCTTGCTAATTCACCTGAACATCCATCAAACGCTGTAGCTATAGATCTCTGTAATTGCCTCATTGTAGCCATTTATTTAAATATCATGCATTCAAGCATGACCTTTTTAAATAGCTCTCTGAAACAGCTGGTGTCAGGGCCCACTGTGCACACCCTGCAGTTTGAGTGTCAGGAGTGCGATGCAAACGCATTCTCCCGTCTGCCTGGCAGGTGCCCAGGGGCACGGTAGGGGATGCGGCAACACGACCACAGGCCACTTGCTCCCAGCTGACTCCTCCAATCTGAGATGTGCAGGTTTCAAAAAGTGCAGTTAAGACATAGCCTGACATGTTCTGAGCTCCCAACCCCCAGCTATTTTCATCAGGGAGCTGCTTTAATTTTTACACTGAAGGAGATGTTATCAGCTAAAGCTGAGACTCACAATGCCTAAAACATCCTGGATTAGAATCAGAGATGACCCATGCATGTCCTGTTATATCACCCCCAAAACGGACCACTGGATTGGGGGGAGTTGTTTATTTAGGTGGTGCTCTACAAATAAAGCTGAGACTCACAATGCCTAAAACATCCTGGATTAGAATCAGAGATGACCCATGCATGTCCTGTTATATCACCCCCAAAACGGACCACTGGATTGGGGGGAGTTGTTTATTTAGGTGGTGCTCTAAAAAAAAAAAAAAAAAAAAAAAACCTTTGAACTGAGTTCAATATCTAAACGATCTCACAGTTCAGAGCTCTTACAAGCAAATACTGTGGAGCCAAGCAGTATTCTTGGCTAACTTTCAAGCTGACACACATTTACAGTCTTAATTAAAAACAACAGGAGCTTTGGAAGAGCTGAGTTACATTGTGAAATATCATAAACACAATTAGCCAAGCATAAAACCAAAGCACTTTGAGTTTAAAGTACAATTTGTGTTTGCCATTTCATCCACCCTATAATAAACCTTCTAGCCACCCAACTTTGCTTAGCCACAAGCATTACAATGATCCCAGATCAACACAGACACACTTACACAATTTAGGGTCACTGTAGCACACATCTGCCCTTGTAGATAAGATGTATCCGGTTGGCTGAAGGTTTGTCGTGCTCATTTAACGCCCAGCAAACAACCAACCGATCTAAACGGTGATCAGAGTGAGATCTGATCCTGTCTTGGTACCTCTGTCTCTACACTTGCTACAACCCCTAGCATATAGCCTGTGTCTTCTTTGTGCGAGCCACTGACCGGCTTTCATCTCACAGCTTCTTAAAACCGCATTAAAATGATCAGGTGGGAGGTGTCGAAAGCGAAACTTACTCTCTGGTTTCGGGATGAGACGTGCGATTATTTAAAAGAGCATTTTGCTAAGTTGTTCGGCACCTGTGCTCAGCTTGTGTCGGATAAAACGCTTGTCTAGTCACTGCTGCTGCCCAGTGCCCACTGACTGCTGCAGCCTCTAGCCGCGCATGCGCAGTACGCGTTTCCCACCTGTCTTCCTCGCTGAGGTCGGGGAAACGCGAAGTTCATTTGGGCACCACGCGCCACCTACTGAATGGGAATTACACTAGGTCACATTTTTACTCTGATTATATTATATTATATTATATAAAACAAGACCTAATTTTAAGACCCTTAAGTTTTTTTTTGCATTTTTGTTATAATTGCATTAAAATATGCTGCAATACAAGTATTTTTGTTATGATTTTATGTCACAAATGCAAAAAATAATTGCATAAATGAATAAATAAATAAACCTAAAACCTAAAAAAAAAAATTTTAAGCCTATTTTAAGACCCTTAATATTTGTATGTGCTCTGACTCAATATTTGGCTCTATTGCATTAAAAATAACTGTAATAATTTTTTTAAATAAATCAAACCAATATGTAATTTCTATTTCTGTTTTTATGTCACAATAAAAAAGAGCCTTTCTCATCGTCGTTGTCATGGTATATCATGTATATATCAAAATAAGTATAATGGTCCTTTTTCCATCTGATACCATCAGTGCACCATAGTACCACAAAATTAAGTGTTTCTTTATCAATTATAAAATGTATAAATGCATAAAATCTACCCCTGATTCCACTAAAATTAAAAAATGAATGGCGACAGAATAGAATGGAATAAACATTTAAAAGCTAATAAAATATATCACATGTAGGCTACAACACGTAGATTATATCCATGCAGCTCATCAATAAAAGCACGTAATGTGCAGACATCACGAATACAGTCAGCATTTACAGTAATCATGACAACACAGAGTCTGTGTCTCAAACCCTAGTGAGCTGCCTACCTAGACAGCATTTTCGGGCCATCACCGGCGCGTTCGAATCTCAGAGGTGCTGTTTAGGTAGAGCTCGCTAGGTCTGGCGAACACAGCCATACAGTATCACACACCACCCTCCCTTCCTCCCTTCCTTCCTTCCTTCCTCCCTTCCTTCCTGTGGTGGGTAGTGTCGCCTGTGTTGACACACACTTGTTCTCTCACTAGGGCGGAGATTTGTGCATTTTACGAGTCAAAAATCTGCTAAATAATCGCTTTATTTAATAGATAGGAATACATAGGAAAGGATTATTGTTTGGTATTAAATGCAAGTATGGGTTGCTGCCTGACTGTTGGACCAAATGAAGCGCTCGTTGTGTCAGGTATCGTGATGTGTTTTACTACAGCTTATTATATCGGGAGTTTATTATTTGTATGCAATTATTGCAGTGTGCACATCAATGTTTGTTTTCGCGAGTAACGTGACTATGAATTATGTGGTAAATAATATCATCCAGTCGTGTATTAGCTAGCTACAGCTGCTGTTAGCTCAGCTCATCCGACTGTTTTAAACTATTTTAGTCGGTTTTAACTTATCATATTTCCGAAACATATGATAAATTCGAGCGTAAAAGTATTCAATTATGAAACTCAATTTTTGTTATTAGTTTCCCCTGCATCCCGTTACGCTTTAACCGTGATTTAATATTTAATATCTCTTTACATTAATTCATAATTATTTATACTATGATTTTTATTCTCGAAACGGCCACTGTGATGCTAAGTTGTGGCTACATTGTGCTGAATTTATGCAGATTTCTTCACACACACAAAAAAGCTGTTTTGAGAAATGGTAGTACAGTTTTTTGAGTATTTACCATTGCAATAGCACCTTTACAAAAAGTGCTTTTACTTTTTTTTTTGCTGTAATGATGATATCAGATAATAATACCGTGGTATTTACATGGTACTCCAGGGTATCTCCAAGAATGCTATAGTACCATAGTATAAAGTATATCCAAAATCAAGGTATTACCACAGTACAATTTTGTATGCACATATTTATTTGCCTTTAGTACTATGGTCTAGTAAAAGTTTACCATAGTACAGGGGTTTATAATCTTTTATACGCCACAGACCCCCAGATATGATCATCCTGGTACGAGGGACCCCCATCTTAAAAATTAAAAGGCAGCTTCATATTTTCATGTATAAAGACCAAATTTATATTGTGAAAAATTAATATTATAAATATGCCTAAAATATTATTTGGAAATTAATTAGTTTCTCTTATGCTACGTTTTTTTTACTCACTATAGCACTGCACTGTCTGATACATTATGTATTAAAATATTCTTAAAAGAGTTAAACATTTTTCTATTTCTTTCATTCAAATAATTTATTAATTTAGTTCCTTTAATGTTATTTTATTAAATTTGTATGCTGTTTTTTGTCTGAAATTTTTTTTGTCTTCCTAGAACCCAGTAAAAACAAAAAAGCATGCCAAAGTAAAACCATAAAAAAACTTGAATTAAAGTAAACTTAAAGTTAATTTTTATTTCACCTAGTTGCCAAGGCAAAATTTCTTTCTTTTTTTAAAATTTAGTTTAACTTGATATTAAAATGGTACCAAAATAACTAATACTTAAACTGAAATAAAAATTAATTATTTAATTAAAACTATATTTATATTGTGAAAAATTAATATTATAAATATGCCTAAAATATTATTTGGAAATTAATTAGTTTCTCTTATGCTACGTTTTTTTACTCACTATAGCACTGCACTGTCTGATACATTATGTATTAAAATATTCTTAAAAGAGTTTAACATTTTTCTATTTCTTTCATTCAAATAATTTATTAATTTAGTTCCTTTAATGTTATTTTATTAAATTTGTATGCTGTTTTTTTGTCTGAATTTTTTTTTGTCTTCCTAGAACCCAGTAAAAACAAAAAAGCATGCCAAAGTAAAACCATAAAAAAACTTGAATTAAAGTAAACTTAAAGTTAATTTTTATTTCACCTAGTTGCCAAGGCAAAATTTCTTTCTTTTTTTAAAAAATTTAGTTTAACTTGATATTAAAATGGTACCAAAATAACTAATACATAAACTGAAATAAAAAGTAATTATTTAATTAAAACTATGTAGATATTTTGAAAAAAAATTAAAAATAAAAATGAAACAACACAACAAAATTGCAAAAAACTTAAAAATTGAATGATAAAAATTCAAAATAATTCAAAATCTATAATAGTATCTCAATGATGCTAAAATAACACTGATGGTACCATGGTATGACTTGTTTGTAAGGGCATCTATCATAGCATCTTCTAGTTCTAGTAGTATGAGTCACCATTGAACTCCGTTCACACAGATCCTGTCCTTTTCTTTTGAGATTATCACTGCAATCACAAGTGTTTTTTCTCTCCTAGGTGCCTGTTGTGGGTCAGATGCAAAGACGTATGTGGTGGGAGGCTGGGCGTGGGCATGGTGGCTTATATCAGACACACAGAGGTAATGCCAGTCAAATAAATGAGGATCACATTTCACTGCTCAGTTCAGTAGATGTAGTCAAAGTTCACTATAATAACAACACACAGTCAATGTTTAGCTGTAACTGTAATGCCCGACTTTAGAAAACTAAAAGGCACACCTGACCAGGTGTGTTTGTCAAACCAGTTTGGCTGTATAGAGGTTTTCAGAGATTGCTTTAAGAGATACTTTAATCATATACATCTGTCGTTCGGATATTGATGTGGTACTATTTCTGTTGGCTTCTTAAATTTCCATGATCCGCTGAATTAGTTGATTTATGAGCTGATCTGATGCTTTTCTATCGAGCGTTTGCTTCATGCTTTCCTGTGAACATCTCTCTGATTGCATTCTGAACTTCCTGTGAGCCACCGCTGTTGTCTTTGGCACTCTTGTCCCCATTTTTTGAATTCTGCGACGCTAACAAGCTTTGGAAAATCAGGTTTTTCTTGTCTTAGGCATTGTGTAGTTATACTTGAAGGTTGTGTTTAACTTTGGATATTTTTCCCCCCAGAATTACACTAGAGATTATGACACTACAGCCTAAGTGTGAAGACGTGGAGACAGCGGAGGGAGTCGCTATTACAGTTACAGGAGTTGCTCAAGTAAACACTCTCTCATGGACCACTCACAGATCATTTACTGTTGTTTTATTCAGTTTATTCTTAGATTTCCATCATTTACTTAATTATTACAGTCATTATTGAAGCTTAGTATCAGTACATTTTTGGGTCTTGAAAGTTATAGTATACACTATCGATCAAAAGTTTGGTGTCAGTAAGATTTTATTTTATTTTTTAAAAGAAATTAATACTTTTATTGAGTAAGGATGCATTAAATTGATCAAAAGTGACAGTAAATACAATAATAATATTACAGAAGATTTGTATTTTAAATGCATGCAGTTTTTTTAAAACTTTCTATTCATCAAAAAATCCTGATTTTTTTAATCACATTAGCACAAATATATTAATCAGCACAACTGTTTTCATCATTGATAGTAATAAGAACTGTTTCTTGAGCAGCAAATCAGCATATTAGAATGATTTCTGAAGGATCATGTGACGCTGAAGCAATGTTATTTTAGTATCATTGAGATACTATTATAGTTTTTATTAATATTTTGAATTAGTTTTTTACTTTTTAGTTTTAGTACTTTTGCTGTGTGGTTTTTGTAATTTTCATTAGTTTATATTGTTTAAAAAATAAATGTCTATATGTGACCCTGGAGCACAAAAGCAGTCTTAAGTCGCTGGGGTATATTTGTAGCAATAGCCAAAAATACATTGTATGGGTCAAAATGATAGATTTTTCTTTTATGCTAAAAATCATTAGGATATTAAGTAAAGATCATGTTCCATTAAGATATTTTGTAAATTTCCTACCGTAAATATATCAAAACTTCATTTTTGATTAGTAATATGCATTGCTAAGAACTTCATTTGGCCAACTTAAATGGCGATTTTCTCAGTATTTAGATTTCTTTTGCACCCTCAGATTCCAGATTTTCAAATCGTTGTATCTCGGCCAAATATTGTCCTATCCTAACAAACCATACATCGATGGAAAGCTTATTTATTCAGCTTTCTGACCCTTATGACTGATTTTGTGGTCCAGGGTCACATATATACTCTTGCCTTGTGTTTTCATCAGGTCAAGGTCATGACTGACAAAGACTTGCTGGCTGTTGCCTGTGAGCAGTTTCTGGGAAAGTCTGTCATGGAAATCAAGGCTGTGGTCCTGCAAACCCTAGAGGGACATTTGCGTTCTATCTTAGGTTAATAGATAACTAACAATTACAGTAACCTTATTAAAAAACAATTCTGATGGGTGTGATTCTATGAAGCTGATGTTCTGTTGCTGTTCTTACGACAGGCACTTTGACAGTGGAGCAGATCTACCAGGACAGAGATGAGTTTGCTCGGCTGGTGAGGGAGGTGGCAGCTCCTGATGTGGGCCGGATGGGCATTGAAATCCTCAGCTTCACTATAAAAGTAAGATATGTGTGTTTCTTAATGCAAAATCATACTCATGGACAAGGTGAGTCCTGCCTCCATTCTAGACCTCAATGACACCTTGAACCAGTATACGTGTAGAATAAATATTAAAGGGGTCATATGATGCGATTTCAAGTTTTCCTTTCTCTTTGGAGTGTTACAAGCTGATTGTGCATAGATAAGATCCCTGAAGTTGCAAAGACTAAAGTCTCAAAGCCAAAGACTCTGAGGTGAAATACGACCTCAGCATGTTGTTGTGTAACCGTGATAAAGTGCTTTGCTAATTGATGGATCATTTCACAGAATGATGTGGCACAGATGTTGCATCAAACCCAAATAGGATGTGTTATTAATCATGTATCCATTATGTATTTGAGGAACTGATCTTTGACACACACCAAGATGACTTGAGCTATATTCGTGACACTGAATAGGTTGAAGAAAGTGCTGATTGCTCAGGCCGAGTCAGAGAAGATCAGGAAGATCGGAGAGGCAGAGGCCATCTCTATCTCATCTGTGGGGAAGGCTGAAGCCGAGAGAATGAGGCTGAAGGCAGAGGCCTACCAGCAGTACGGAGAGGCCGCCAAGACTGCACTCGTCCTAGAAGCGCTGCCCAAGGTGAACGAACTGTTCTCCTATGTTATTTGGATGATAGAGGTCACCACTGGAATTGTACATGGTCACTATGGGTATTGTAGGATGGGCCTGGATTTCATGTTTTGAACTTCTAATGTCCATCACCTACAGATTGCTGGAAAGGTAGCGGCTCCTCTGGCCAGGACCAATGAGATTGTTATTCTGAGTGGGGACGGAAGCCGCGTGACCGGGGAGGTGAACCGTCTCCTCGCTGAGCTGCCCGTGTCTATTAATGCACTCACGGGTGTGGACCTGTCCAAGGTGAGACTGGGCGTGAAGTTAATCAAGAGACAAAACCATGTTAATCAGGCCTTAAAGACAAAATGGTGTGGTACATTTTTTGACCAAGTGTTCAGTCAAAATATACATTTATAATAATAAATCAATAATTAATTAAATATTGATTTATTAATAATTGATGAATAATCTATTATTTCCTGTATCCTGAGTTGATGAATAACCCACAAAAAGTTAAAATTTTCATAAATTATTTTAAATAATAGACAACAATTGTACATTTAAAATGTTGCTTCTCAAGCCCAGATTAGTAGTGATGGTAGATGTCACTTATTTGGACTACATAAATAATAAAACAAAACACTAAAAACTAAAATCACTGATTTTAAATGCTACAATTGAATTTAGGCATCACAAAATTATAATGTACAGTATGAAAAATGTATCATTTTGAGATTATACTATTAGAATAACATACAGTTATTAGATTATTAGTGTTTTTTAAGACTTTAAGTGAATGTTACATGATGGCAAAATAATATAAATGTAAAAATGAAGGAAATCAGTGTGCATAATTGAATATCTAATTTAAATATTTAAAAATAAATGCTTTGTTTTAAACCTTTGGATATAAGTCTGCTACAGTAAATGAATGAATAAAAATCCATTATCAGATGAATTATATTTAAAGGGGTCATGAACTGAGAAATCTAAATTCCCTTGATCTTTTGACATATAAGAGGTCATTGTACTATAAAAACATCCTGTAAGTTTCAGAACTAAAAACTTCCTCATTAGTCTAAAAACAGCTTTATATTGAAGCCAATCTGCCAAAACGACAGCTTGTGGAATGTGCCACTTTATGACGTAATAGTGTGGCTAAACCCCGCCTCCGCAGAAGAAGATCAACGCCTGCTTCTACATCACTGCCTGTTTAGCCCCGCCCACCATTTTGAGCATGTAGTGTAAATAACGAGAACGCAAATGCAGGTCTACGCTGAAATCAAACGATAAAAATTCTCAGAAGATAACAAGAGGCTGCGCAGTGCCAAGTTGTGGAAAAACACAGTCTTTGCATCGCCTTCCTTTTAATCCCAACTTTAGGAAAGAGTCGATAAACTTTATTTTTAATAAAGTTCCAGATTGCGTCAGTAAGAGCTCGTTCTTTGTTCACTTAAAGGGTTAATTCACCCAAAAATGAAAATTAGCCCATAAATGACTCACCCTCAAGTCATCCTAGGTGTATATGACTTTCTTCTTTCAGACGAATCCAGTTGGAGTTATATTAAAAATTGTCTTTGATCTTTCAAGCTGTTTAATGGCAGTCAGCGGGTGTTGCATTGCTTCAGTCCAAAAGAAGTGAAATAAAAAGCACCCATCCATAAAAAAAAAATGTCTCACACGGCTCCGGGGGGTGAACAAAGGCCTTCTGTAGCGAATCGATGTGTTTTTGTAAGAAAAATATCCATACTCAAAACGTAATAATCACTTTAATGTAGCTTGCGCTCACTGTTGTACACTGGAAGCAGCTCCGGGCGGATGACGTATGAGTTCAGCGTTGCGCATGTGCTGGTGAGTCTCGTGAAAACCAACGTTTGTTAACAAAGCAAAGGAAGCAAAGTTTCCTTACTTTAGCAAAGGAAAACCAGTCTCATCTTGGCTTATATCAAAATCCTCCGACATTCTTCTTTACAAATCCTCGTTTTGTACATACACCTAGGATGACTTGAGGGTGAGTAATTTATGGGCTAATTTTCATTTTTGGGTGAACTAACCCTTTAATTTCACCGCTGATTCGTTTACAAACAAGGCATAATTTGACGCAGGATTTTCAGAAAGACTGAAATTAAAAGACGACGCTGTGTGACTATATTGGATCCGACAGTAATGTCGCACCACACAAGTGTGACTAAGTGTTTTTATTACATGGTCACTATTGCTTTGTCTGTTATTACAGATCGTTTGATATGTACTGAGTATTTAGCGCTCATCTGCGAAGGCTGTAGGCTGTCAAACATACACAACTGTTAGCCAATCTTAGCAGTGGGCGTTTACTTCCAAGTCTACAATCCTCCGCGCCTATTCAAACAGAGCTCTCTGATGAGAGGGGGGTCAAAACAGGGCAGAAAATAGCCTATTACTGCTAAATTATGATGTATTTTGATGTAAAAATGTTGATAACGTTATAAGTGGACCTCAGAGAGCAGTACAAAATTTAAAAAAAAAGCAGTTTAATATCAATCAATACTGATCAAATTTCGTAATAAAAAATATTAATAAACCCCCCCAAAAAAATCTCTATGATTATATATTTTGCAAATCAGGCTAAAAAATGCAGTTCCATTCTACAGCTGCCATATAGCATATTTTCATATGATATGCCATATTTAATAATGATCTACTTGATGTGTCTCTACTTTTACAGATGCCTCTGTTGCAGAAGATGACAGGTGCTCAAGCATGAAGTCAATCAATGTCTCCTTCATGATGTGTTGTATGCACTCACAGAAACTGCCTTTAGAAGATTTTTTTTTTAATTAAAAAACAAAACAAAACAAAAAACAAGTAGATTTTTGATACCTCTGGTGCCTTAAAGTTTCATAGGACCAGAATTTGTGCATGCACTGCTGCTCCCACATTCTGCAATTTATTTTTAAATCACTTGCCGCTGGAGTCATTGTTCATCACATACGTCAGAGACCATTAGAACAACCAGTATTGATTTTTGTTTTGTTTTGTTATATATTTTTGTAGTGTCAGCATACAAAAACTCAACCCATCACACTTTATTCTTTACTATTTTATACACTTTATTTTCATCTCAACACTACACAGACACTTTAACACTCAATGGTGAGTCAGCTTTAGATTACGATCAAATCTTTTTATCCATCCAAAGTCAAGCATTACTTCTTCATTCATGTTAAGTCATGTTTCTAACTAAAAAGAGGCGACTTTACCTTACAGATCCTGCCATGATTTGTAACATTCAGGAAGACCGCCATTGCTGTAGAGTAGCGAGTAGCATTCAGTATACTAAGCTCTTGGGCAAAAGCATTGGCTTACGGGTAAATATCAGTGTCATATTAGGTAGAATCAAGCCAAGTGCTCCTCTTCTTTTTAAATGTTGCCGACACATAAACAAACATGGCCTTTATAAACCGATCCATCTTCTGAATTATCGTGTAAGTCACCTGAGCTCAACAATAGTTCAGATCACTTTTCTTTTGCCTGTAGATTTTTAAGATCTTTGGATTGTATGTGTGCTTTGTTTTGTTTATATTATTGAAGAAAATTCGTTTTTAAAAGAAATTTAGTTTTGGAGAGATTTAGCAAACTCGTGTCTGGATATCCAACCAATCTGATGCTGTTAATATAGTTTCATGACAACAGAGTTGAGCCATTTTTAAGACAGTTTTGTATAGTTGTATGACAGCCATGCCTAACAAAATCTTTCTAAATATTAACACGAGTTAGATACTGTAATATGTGTCATGAGATGAATTTAAAAATCACCCTTTATGGACAATAATATTCTGTTCTGTAGTGGTTTATCTAGATTGTGTATTCTTTTGTCACTGTGAAAGTTGTATTACCTCATTTTCCTCATTCGGTTCAGAGCGAGTGGCGGTTTGCAGTAGCGTTTGACATGTTTGTACGTTTATTCTGCTGGGTTCAGTAGTGCTGTGAAGGGGCAAAGTCACTTTTCCTTTTTTTAGTTGTCATGCTAATGAAAACACCAAATGATAAAGCCAAGCGATCACACTCCTCTTTCCGAGATTTTATTCATAGTTTTTTTTATCTGCTTAATGTCCATTTTGTTTAATAAAATCTTTGTAAAACTGATTTATTGTTTATTTTGTTTTAGTATGAGTAAAATGCCCCTGACACTTCTGTTTTCTCATAGAAACAGATTCAACAGTCATTTTATTTATTAATATTATTTTATTATTATATTTTTTAAAACACTCATTTTTATGTTTGATTAATTCAGAACTATTAAAGCCATGTCGTGGCAGGTTTAGAGCATCATAGACTGGTTATGTGCATTTGTATGCAATGTACTATATTGTGTATTGGACAAACATTATAGGAAATTGTATGGCAGGATAAAGCTCAGATGCGCTTTTCCTGTAGTGGGACACAAGATACACAAATTAACCCCAAATATGCCATTGATATGGGGATTATTTGGTAGTTTTATACATACTCTTTACACAGAATTAACTGAGCATGTTTATGGTGCATGTATTTCCAAATGTAATAAATGTCATGTGACCCTGTTTCTCTCGATGTTCTTTCATTCCATTAAAGTGCTCATATAAACTGTCAAGTTTATGTAATTAATGTCTCCTTTAACAAAATATGAATTACTGGTCACGAATCACTTACCGTGCAGAGGTTGTTTGTTAAGAAACACTGACACCGTGTGGTTAAGATGTGCAGTGCAGGATAAAAGTAATCAAGCAATCACCGTGAAATCACTACTTGTGTGGTTTATCTAAATACACTTTCCCAGCTGTATATCAGAGCACGAAATTACTTTGAAAAATCACTCATTATGCTATATGATTACCAAATCTTGGATTAATTTTTTTTTGTCAACATTTTTTTTTTTCAGTTAACAAAGGTTTTGTTTATTTATTTTTGGAATTGTTCAATCTAGGCCTCAATCTGAGTTAATGCGCCTCAGCTTTTGAGTGAAAAAAGCATTATTTGTGGATAATTTTGGCAAAGTTCATTCAAAAACTAAGGTGATTAAGCTTAGATTGATCAGTTGAGAAAGAAATACAAAACCTGTGCTAATTGAAAGAAAACATGATTTGGTCGTAATATAGCATAACGAAAAACGTATAATTAATTTGTGTAGACTGAGAACACCACAAGTGTAACAAGATGGGGGAAATATTAAAAAAAAAAAGCATTATTTGTGGATAATTTTGGCAAAGTTCATTCAAAAACTAAGGTGATTAAGCTTAGATTGATCAGTTGAGAAAGAAATACAAAACCTGTGCTAATTGAAAGAAAACATGATTTGGTCGTAATATAGCATAACGAAAAACGTATAATTAATTTGTGTAGACTGAGAACACCACAAGTGTAACAAGATGGGGGAAATATTAAAAAAACAAAAGTACAAAAATTATCAAAACATTTTTTTAGAAATGTTTTAGTCCAATGCAAGAACATTAACTAGAGCATTTTCAAGGGTCAAAGTGACCAGAACACAACACAACAAGGGTTAAAAACACATTACAAGACCTGTATATAGAAGCTTATTTCGCCTATGGAAAAAACTAGAACTAGACATTCTGAGAAAAAAGTCATGCAAAGTGCACATTTCGACATATAGCCTATAATGTCTGAGCCAGCCACAAACGCATACTCGCTGGACTGTATAAGTCTCTTTTTTTTCAATATAAAATAATATTTAAAAAGCGTATAGCCTCATTTTCATGTCCCCATTCATCACCATTGCAATTTAATGCATTAAAATACCAGGTTTAAAATGTGTTTAGAATTTAGCAGTTCATTTTAATGCACACATTTCTAAGTTTGCTGAAAACCTGTTGTACACAAACTTCTACAAGCCATCTGTTATCTGATCGATATGGGGATTTTTAACAAGTTAAAGTATAGTATCATTTTGCTGTGAAATCTAAAAAAAAAAACAATTTCAGGTCCAAATGACTCTGCTTCCTGAGAATGCAGAGTAATTGAATCTCATAACAAGACAGTAAAGAGATCCACATGATGAAGTTTCTGGAGCAGCTTGTGTGGAATAAACTGAAATCTCCAGAGAAACACATCATATTTAACTCCTCTTAAGCACATGAGGCCGCTGTCCAGCATCAGGTGTCTAAGCTTCATAATAACATCATAACAAGTGCAAAACACATTTAACAGCTTTTCCATCATATAACGAGAACATTAGGAGTATTTCAACGATCTAAAATTTTCTGCTGGGTGACTATAGTCTTTACTAGTGGTCAACCGATATATCGCCAAGACCGATATATCGGCCGATAAGTTTTTCTGTTTGGCCGATGTGTTCGTGGCGGGACTTTTATTTGGACTGCGCTGAGAACGGCAGCGCCTGTTCTCCAACGTTTACACTGGCTCCCAGTAAAGTATCGCATTGATTTTAAAATTTTGCTTCTCACATTTAAGGCACTTCACAACCTTTCTCCACTGTATCTTACGGACCTTCTCCACATCTATACTCCTTCTCTCATTCTCAGATCTTCACACTTGATCTCTTTTGTGTCGCCGCGTATACGTTTAAGCACCATGGGAGCAAGAACTTTTTGTTTTGCGGCCCCTCGCCTATGGAACTTTCTCCCCCTCAATATACGGAACAGTGACAGCCTTCATAATTTTAAATCTCGTCTTAAGACTTATCTTTTTACCCAGGCTTTCTTATGACTTGCTCTTATTAATTGCTCTTATTATTGCTCTTGTAAGCCTTTATTGTATTCATGATGTATGCAGTTGTGCTGTTGAATTTTGTATTGCTGGCAGGACTTGTTTATTTATTATTACTGTTTTTACTAGTTTGCTTGCTGTAAGGTGACCTTGGGTGTTTAGAAAGGCGCCATTAAATAAAATGAATTATTATTATTATTATT